TTGGGTTTAGTGGGTTTTACTCGGTTCACACCGGTGGCTGTGTACTATGCCGGACCAGAGTTAAGGCATAGCAACCAAAACAAAACTAAAATTAAATGTGTGTGTCAGTGTCAGTGTCTGTATTGAGGAATTTCCTAACAATATGGCATGTATTCAATATAGTGGCCTTCTGTAGTGTGATGTATGTATTTCTATTCAATTGTAATGTTCCCAGGCTTTTGTGTAGTGTGTGTGATATCATACCTGTACAGGAGAGAACAACAGGTACAATAAGCACCCTATGCATCCTCCACAGATGCCTTATTTCCTGGGCGAGTTCTGTGTACTTGCTAATTTTTTCAGTGAATCTGTTCTGTATATTGTGAGTGTTTGGAATGGGTATGTCTATAACGTATATAATTTTATTGTGTTTGTCAATGAGTGTGATGTCTGCTCTGTTGTGGTAAATCATTTTATCTGTGATTATGGCTCTGTCGTAGTACATTTTGTGCGCGCTGTTTTCCAATACTGTCTGTGGAATGTATTTGTAGTAAGGTTTGTGGATGTCTAATAATTTGTGTTTGTTTGCAAGCTCTTGGTGTATAATATTTGCAACTTGATTATGTCTGTGTAAATACTCTGTCTGTGCCATGAGCTTGCACCCAGAAGTGATGTATTGTATAGTTTCTGGCATGATGTGACATTTTCTGCATGTGTCATTTGTGAGTGTTTGTATCTTTGAGTATGTGTTTTCTGTAGTTTTTAGTATTTATGACCTGTTCCTGTATGGCAATCATGAATCCTTCTGTCTCCCAAAGAGGCATCCTCGATCTAATCAGCTGTTCGATGTAGTTTTGTCAACAAAATCCTGGGCCAGGTCATAAGGATGCCTGCCATGGAGTGCCTTTTGAGCCCACGATTGCTTGATGGTGTCTATGCTTTTTATGTGTTGTGTCATGTCTGTGTGATGTGAGTGTAAGTTTAATGGTGTGTTATTTGAGTCTGCTAGAGTTACTGCTTTATGTAACTGTGATGTTTCTTGTTTCCTGTAGAAAAACTCTCGCAGTGACTGTATTTGTTTGTAGTGAAGGTTAACTATGTCAATCAGGCCACGTCCGCCTTCTTTACGTGGAAGGGTTAATCTTTCTGTGGCGGATTTAGGATGATGTTGTTTATGCTTAGTAAGTGTTGTTCTTGTTTTCCTTTGGAGTTGCTCGAGATCTGTGTGAGTCCAATGTATAACTCCAAAAGAGTATGTGAGTACTGGGATGACATATGTGTTTATTGCTTTAACTGTGTGTTTTGCATTTAACTGTGTTCTAAGTATAGCGTTTAACCTACTTTGGTATTCTTTAATTAATCTTTGCTTTATTTGTGTATGTTCTGTTAGTTTGGCCTGTTGGAATCCTAAATACTTGTAGAACTCACCCTCTTTCATGGATTCAATAACTTCTCTATTTCCAAGTGCAAAATCTTCTTTCTTCAGGATTCTTTTTTCTATGTGAAGTGTTTTACATTTGTTTAGGCCAAACTGCATTTGTATGTCCTTGGTGTATGAATGTGTGATTTGTAGGAGTTTATGAATTTGTTTTTGTGTGGATGCATAAAGTTTTATGTTGTCCATGTACATGAGATGTGACAGTGTAAACTGTGTTGTTTTTTCATGTCTGATATTGTAGCCATATTGCGTGTTATTTAACATGATGAATAATGGGTTCAGGGCTAGGCAGAACCAGAGAGGACTCAAGGAATCTCCTTGAAAAATTCCTCACCTAATGAATATTTGGTTTGTTTGTATGGAAGTGTTACTAACCCTGAGATGTAGTGTTGTTCTCCAGTGCTACATAGTATTTTGGAAGAATGCAATGAGAGATGGATGTATTTTGTACATGTGTAGAATATGTAGCAGCCAGCTGTGTGGAATGCTGTCGAATGCTTTTCTGTACTCTATATGTGCCATGTGTATGTTTCTGTGTTGCTTGTGTCTTGCCATAGAATGACTGAATCTATGAGTAACTGCTTTGCATTCCTTGTGATTTATATGACAACCTTTTTGTTGTTCTGTAAGAATGTCGTGTTCTTCAACATGTTTGTATATTTTGTTTGCGATACATGCTGTCAATAATTTGTAGAGTGTTGGAAACACATGTAATTGGTCTGTATTGTGTGGGGTCTGTGGTGTTGTTGTTTTTAGGTTTCATGTAGGTAATGCCCCGAGTAAGAAATTTTGACACGTCTTGTGGATTGATGATGATGATGTGTTAGATGTTTAGCTAGTTCCCGGTGCAGTGATGTAAACTTTTTGTACCAGAAATTGTGAATGTTGTGTACACCAGGTGTCTTCCAGTTGTGTGTTCTGTTAACAGTGTAGTAGATGTCTTGTATGTTTATTTCAGCACATGGCATAGTTGGTATGCTGTGCAAGTTTCTGTTCTCCTCCTCGATCAAGCCTGCATGAGCATTGTGTGTAACAGCACTGGACCAAAGAGAAGACCATTAAGTTGTGAGTTCTTCTTCTGTTGGTGTGCCACTGTGCTGTGTATCAGTGTTTGTTTTGGTACTGATTTATCTGTAGAAAAGTTTTTCATTGTTTGTAAATAACTTATTTTGTTGTTTTCGTAGTGTACGTGTTTTGTATCGTTTGAGTCTATGTGCTTTGGCTGCAAGTTTTTGTTTTAGTGTATCGATGTATTCTGTAATGTGTGTGTTGTGATGTTCATGTTTTGTGTGTGTTTTGATTTTCTTGAAAATGTTTTTGAGTTGTTTCATTAATTTGGGTGTTATGTTGTTTTTAGTGTATTGTGTCAGCCTGCCTAATTGCTTTTCTAATGTCATTTATTTGTGTTTCTATTCTTCTCTGCCAGGCAGGCTTGTGATAGAATTGTGTTTTGTGTGTGTCTGTCTGTGATTGTATTTTCAGTCCATGGTGTGTTACTACTGTGACTGCCCCAGCATAAACTAATGTATGAATGTCTGAGAGTGTAGAAATTGAATGAATGTAGTTTGGTAGTAAGTGAGTGTTTACATAATTTAATGTTTTTCCTACTTCCTTTGACATGTTGATTTTTGGTATTTGTGGTCTTTGTGTGGGATCTGTACCAGTATATTTAGTGAGTGTTTCCTGAAATATAAGTGAGAGTGTATTAACTAATTCTATGTCTGTGTTATCAGTGATGGATGAGGAAGTGCCTGTAGTATCATTAGTTGCAGTTGTTGTATGTGTGCTATTATCAATGCTTGTTGCTGGATTATCCTGACAGGTTACGTGATCTTCATTAATGTTAAATGTTTCTGTCTGTTGATGTATTTGATCAACAGACTCAGTAACCTGTTGTTGGTAAGTTCAAGTGTTGTTTGTGGGATAAGGTTGTTGTGTATAATTGTTCTTTTTTGATCAACAACCCTTTGTTCGGTGACAGTGAGGTGAGGATATTGTTGTGTGAATCTATGGTGTAGTTGTTGTCTATATGCTATCATGTTTGTTTTGAGTTTTGTGATGGTATAGTAAGTATGGATGATAAACTCGTTCATTTCTATTATCCATTTAATCTGTGGCATGGTTTTCCAGCCTTTGTGGTCTGTGAATGCATTGCCACAGAAACACCAAGAGTTTTGGTAAACTTGGTAATGGATTATTATTTCAACTTACAAATCTCATGCGATTAGGCAAAAGAAAACAAATGAAAAAATTCAAAGCCATTATCATTTCCTAAAAATATATATAAGGGTGGCAAAAACTAGATTGCACAGGGCAACAAAAAATCTTAACTGTTTCCAATTACCTATACTATAATGCAGTGTTTTTCAACCTTCTTGAATACGCAACCCCTTTACAAGTTAAAAAATTCTGGCGACCCCCTAGGGCCATATTAAAACTATATCAGTGATTTTAAAATCTATGTATTTAATTTTCTCTCTGTTGAGACAAATTATTGTTGATTAAAGTGAAAATTTCAGAAGAATCGACAATAACTTAACACACATAAAGTATGAAACTTCCTTTAATTATAACATTCGGTACAGGAAGATGTTGACCTTTTTTTTGTTTAGGATCAGAATTTTCAGCTTCTACGTTTCTACTTTTTATTTCTTTTTGCAGATCAGCTCAACACTTTTTCCGCTATCATTTTCTGGGGTGGGCCGTAATTCTCGCTGAAATTGTAGTTTTTTTTTAATGTAGTGTAGGACCTACAAACACTTGTCTTTTTCTTTTACCTGCAACCCCCTGTGTAAGGCTTCGCGACCCCCAAGGGGGTCACGACGCACAGGTTGAAAAACACTGCTCTAATGAAACTGAATTTAGTTATTACATAGAAGTGAGATATGGTATGGTGCAATATTTGTGTCTACACCCAGTATAATGTGTATTGACTGCTCATTATAATATTACATTTAACACTTACAGTGATACCTCTCTAAAAAGAACCCTATAACAAACATTTTTTTTTGGTTTTGTTAAAATTATCTTTAAATGAAACATCTATTAAATGTAACCTTCATTACTTTTATTTATGAACTTATAATGCATACCATGCAGAAATAGTAATATAACACATCAAATGTAAGTAATGAATTATCACAAGACTCAGTATTATTTTAAAACATTCAGTTATATTTTGTTTGATTTTTATAACTGATGATAATAATTTGCTTATGTTCAAATTTATTAGTTTCTAGTGGTTGCTTTTTACTAATAAAAATAATTAATTCATTTTGTCTTCAAAGTTCATATTTAGCTAATTCACAATTCATCAGTACTATCTCAATTTTGTTTTTGTAAATTTACAAAATAATATCAATTTTTAAATATTATAATATTAAGTATATAAATTCTGATATTTTTGATATATTATTTAAAAATAATATTATTAAGCTGTATTCACATCAAAAATAAAAAACAACTTTTCAAAAAAATTTATCAGACTAATTCTTTTATATACACAACAAATTATTAATAAAAACTGTCATTAACAATTATGTAAATAGATTTATATTAATGACAATTGAATAATCAAGTTAACCTTTTTTCCATCTTTGGTTTTCTTAAGAACATATGTTCCATCAGGTAATCTATCAAAATACTTCCTTGCTTTATGAGCATGATCTAATATGTGTTTAGGTGGCATTCCTAAAACTTCGACAATTTTGTTCATTTGATCAACCTAAAAAAAAAAATATATATATATATATACATATAATAAAACAAAATAATTTTATTAAATATAATTTAACAATAAAACAAAATAATTTCATAGAATTATTTTGTTTTCTTTTATAGATATCAAATTATTCAAGTATAATTCTTAAAATCTATGTATATAAATAAATTCTTGTTGGTTTGTCTTTTATGCAAATCTTTATTCTTAAACAGAGTTTGACCAAAGTTTGTATGTGTTACTTAAACCCTAGAATTGACAATAAGTTATATACTATCCCAAAATATCAAGTTACATCAAGAGAAGATACCATGTTTGCCGTGAGGCCACCAAAAACTCTTTTATAACAGCTAAAGAAAAAAAATAAGAGCTTACTTTTGAAGCCAGTGTTTCAGCTATTAAGAGAAGTTTAAATAAAAAGGTTGTCCATGGAAGAGTGGCTCATAGAAAACCAATGATTTCAGCAGTGAATCAGAAAAAAAGATTAGCTGTTCCCAAAAATTTGTGGACAAGCCCCTAGAGTTTTGGAAGCGTGTTATTTAGAGTGATGAGTCAAAATGAGAAATGCAGGATGCTAAATGATAGAAATTTGTTTGGAGAAAGAAAAATCAAGCATTCAATAAAAGTAAAACTATGGGAACATTAAAACACTCAACTTACATAATGGTGTGGAGGTGTTTTTCAGGGTTCGGAATGAGCAATATTGTTCAAATTCATGAACGCATGAAAGCAGTAGATTACAAGCAGATACTTGAAGACAATTTAATGGCATCAGCAAGGAAATTGGGGATTGAAAATGAATTTGTCTTTCAACAAGACAATGATCCCAAACATACAACACTGCTTCTCAGGAAATATTTTAATGATAATGATAACAAAATTCTTGAATGGCCATCGCAGTCACCAGACTTAAATTTAATAGAACATTTGCGGGACGAATTAGACTGCTGTATTCTTCTTAGCCATAGCGAATATTTACCGGTGTACAAAGAAGAATTATTTAAGGTTTAATCAGAAATTTGGCAGAATATCATTGATAAATTGATTAACAGTATGCAAAGTTTTCTTCACGTAATTCAGGCCAAAGGTGGTCCAGCAAACTTCTGATTTGACTCTTTTCTCAATGTTTTATTTTGTGTCAACTTTGAAATGGTCTTGCCATACAACACAAATTTACATAATAAAATAAAGACACTGAGTTAGGCGTTGCATGCATACATTTTCTTATCGCAAGCACTTTCGACAAACTTATAGTCATTGTCATCAAACGTATGCATGTAATGTCGTCGTCAAAATGTATGCATGTAACACCGAACTCAATGTCTTTATTTTATTATATAATATTTTGGCGTGATAGTCATCCTATTGATTACTAACACAAATTTACAATTTGTAAAACATACATAATATTTTCTTCAGAATTTTTTGTTGGATATAATAAAAATTAAGGTTAATTTAATTTTTACATATTGATAAGATGATGATAAACTCAAAAGTTCAAAAGTTAAAAAAAAAAGTTCAAAAAACAGCCTATGTCAACTTTGAAATGATTTTGACTGTATATCAGTAAATTGTAAAACCATCTCTGACATTGATCAATTTGCATTAACTGCTAGACTGTGTTTACTATTTTCTGGTTTGTAATATTTGTGATGAAACTGTTATTTAATGGTGTTATCTCCTCATTCTGTGATATTGTGATAAATTTTATTATTATTATTATTCTATTGTTCCATGGACAGAATTTGATTACTATTGCACATTGACTTTAAGGTAAATTGTTTTTTGCAATAGGGTATATTTATTTCTAATTGTTGGACATTCCTAACTTTTTCCAGCAAATGTTTTATTTCAAAACATTAAAATATATATATGTTCTAATGTTTTGAAAATAATTCATCATTTTGGCAAATATTTTCATGTTTATGAGGAGTTGGCAGAGTTCATAGAACTAAGAACTAGTTGAGTCTGTTGTGGAAAAGATAATTTGCAATGAAATTTCAAAACTTTATATCTCCAGCATGTAAAGATTAAATGTTCAGGATATAATTTTATAAATCTATTTTTTAAAATCGACAAATCATTGTGATAAAGTCAATATATAGTAAAACCTGTCTAAAACAGAACCTTAAAAGCAGAAAAAACTTTGTATTAGAGAGATTTTATTCCGGTTAAGTAAGGTTCTTTGTATCCAAAAACCTAACTTAATCTAAGTAAAGTGCAAAATTAACATTCCACTTGTATACAAATAACTAAAATTGCCTCTAGGTATAATGATCATCATAGTGCATAACAAACTGTATTCAGAGAATGAATTTAATTCAATTTAGAGAAATGAAAATTATGCAAAAAGGGACACATACATAGGATTTTTCAGTTCAGTTTTTACGTATTCAGATTCAAACTTGTCAAGTCACTTTTATCCAGACTTGATACTTAATCTAAAACATGATAAGTCAAAGTCCAAAATTCATACATTTTAACAGCATCAAATAAAAATCATTAGTCATTAGTCATTGAAACATTATTAGTAAGGATATAATGAAATAAAACATAAGCAATTAGTAAAGATAAACTGCTAATATTTACAAATTAACAAAGATAATACAAAATACAACCAGCTTATTTTGGTTGTATCTTTGCTCAGTCATTATATCAATAATACTGACATTACGGTTTGCACAATAAAATCTTTAAGTTGATTTGAGACTTTGCAGCACAGAAAGTTGAAAATAATCCAAATCAGGTAAAGAAATTGCATGCTGATTTGAATATAATCAAATGATTTTTTACAAATCCAGCAACACTATTCAAAAAATATGGGCTGATGTTATATTCATTTCTTTATTTTATTAAGATTTAAAAGAAAAAGTACACAGAAGTAGCAAATTTTTTATTTCTTTAATATTTTTAATTCTCAGATGGTCTCAAAGTCAGAAGCTCAAAGATCAGATAATTGAGGCAATTAAGACATCAACTATTGTTCTGTGACCAGGAATCAAGTCCAGAAGAGTTTAAGAGATCTTCAAAAAATAAAGGGGAATTTATTTTGTGTTCATTTGAAATATCACAAATAAAATAATCTGGTAATTATAATTAAACAGGTGATTTCAAAACAGAATATGAATTATAATTAATTGTTTTTGTAAATGTATAAAATCCCAATATATATATATATA